CTGAAGTACTCTGCAGAAGTGTCCTCACTCCACTCCTGCAGCTTCCGCATCCCAGGAGGGATGGGTGGACACACACCCATCCCTCAGGTTAGAACAAATAAGAATGAGTTTTGAGAAATCCTAGGTTGAGAAACTTCCTCGTTTCTCCTCTGACAAAAGCAGTCACCTTCTCTAAGAAGACAGCGCTCTTCCTTGAGTACCTGGCACTTGTGTCTAGTAATTGCCAACAGAACCAATTCAACTATTGCCAAAATGAGGAAATCTCTATTAAGCACCACCACTGAGGAGAGATGTCTTATTTTTCAATGCTGAGAATTCATTTGTAAATTGCTTTGAAAATGTAAACCAGTAATCTGCACACTAAAAAGAAGTCTACAGTATAGTTTCAAATTCACAGATAAAAATAATTTTAAATGATTTGTAATTGTAGGATGTGTCTTCAAGATGTCGCAACAGAACAGCAATTCAGGAACCTAATCTTCCCATGTGGACCAACTAACTATGAACACAAATACATTAAGTCTTGAAATCTCTTTTAGGATCTCTGCTGAAAAGCATTCAGCAAATGACGAAATCTAGCCCTGACTGGTGTGGCTCAGTTGGTTGTACATCACCCCACCAAGCGAAAGGTCACAGTTCAACTCCTGGTCAGGGCACATTCGAGAGGCAACCGATCGATGTTTCTCTCTCACATCAGTATTTCTCTCCCTCCCTTTCTCCCTCCCTTCCCCTCTCTATAAAAATAAATAAATAAAATCATCAAATAGTTCCTAAAACCATAAGTGAAATCACTTAAAAAAAAAAAAAAAGACTTTAGGTAAAAAGCAATGTCTGCATCAGGTCCAGACTAACAAGTTGTAGGACTGACTAAAACTCAGTATGTGAGAAATCAGCTACCCCCTATACAACTCAAAATCTGACAAAATGCTGAATTAAAGTCAGGATACTTAAATAACAGAAACTGGGAAATTTCTCTATTTCTGTAAAACACATTTGGTCTCTTCTCAGAGCTGGTAGACTAGCATTAACTCAAAAGCCCAATGATTACACCATTATTCCCCAAAATTAACCCCCAGCTGATAAAAAGAATTTCCCTAACTGCAAATGGGATCACAATTCATCACCTAAGAACCACAAGGCCATGAGGAGGGGATTATGAAGATGGGAGAAGGGGGAGGAGGGTGTTGAAGACTGTAAGAGACCAGATTTTGTCTCTTACCTTTATGTCAAGGAAATATGAACAAATCACAATTTTTGTTTTGGAGGAACAAGATACAGAAGTTAACAGCAAATAAAACCAGGTAACAATTATTACTTACTCTGTAGATGGCACTATGTTAAATGATTTGCATGTATCATATTATTTTCTCCCAAAATCCTACAGGTACTACTATTAGTTCCCTTCTCGTATAGGGAAACACACTTGGAGAACCTAAGAAACTTAACCAACAACACACAGCTAGTTAACTAAGTAAGAACCTTGAATTTGAAAGATGAAGATTTGTTCAACTAAACCCAGTGTTTCACGAGGAAACATGCCTTGAAGAGAGTAGGGAGATTAGATATTCCCCACTGTCAACTGAGGAGGGAAGCCTAGAACCCAGATATCAAATGTTCTCTCTACTTCACTTTCTACAATGTTTAAGACAATTTCCTAACAAGAGTTTATTCACCATTTAGGTATTCCATTTACCAAGAGAACTTAAAACATTTTTCAAAAATCTATGAACATAAAGAAGGAGGTCATGTACACACATATACTCTCTTAACAGCAATATTTTATATTTTATCACATTTTATGTTATATTCATTTTAAAGAGGAAATGGCACCTCAATTAAGTAATTATTGCCTTCATTTCCTAACTGTGCTGCTCTTCATAAGCATGGAAGACAACAGGTAAAGCTAAAGTTAAAGACAGTCAGGGCTAAAGGCAGTTGTTGTTTTTAACTTCTCCACTCCCAAATTCACTGTATGTTTTCTGCTCAAGATTATAAAATAGAAAAATATATATTGAACACTATAAAAACACTTTTTTAATCTCAGGAGTCTTAAAAAATAAATAAAACCAATTTGTGCCATCTTGAACTCCTCCAAAAAGAATGGACTTCCGCTTGTTAAGGTTATTATCCTCCTGCTGTGTCCTCCAATGACTCTGCTAGACAATCAAAGCATAATGAATTTCAATTTTCCGGGAGTCAGAAAATAAACAGCAGTTCTATTAAGTGTAGATGATAGTCAGATGAGCTCCATAATCTAAGATTAATATAACAATAATAAAAGCAGTAATGCCTGTAGCCTTACTATGTACTAGACACTATTTAGGCTCTTGACACGTTAACTCATTTAGTTTACACAATGATGATATGTGGTACTTTGTATTTCCCCAGTTTACAGATGGGGAAAACTGAGGTGCGGAGAGGTTAAGTAAAATTGGCCTACGATTACACAAAACTAAAACTCTGTCCAGGTGGTCTGGCTCCTGACTCTCCAGAGAGCCCCAAAGTTAGAGTCTATGTTTCTTCCTTTCACTGGCCCCAACTCAACTGCCTTTCCCACACCCCCTCCTGCCAGCCTCCTCTCACAAAGCTAGCATATATGACTCCCCATATTCACATAAGACATGTCCTCTCTCCCCACTACCTACCCTATAGTGTGCTTTTTTTAAAATCCTCACCCAAGGACATTTTTTAATTGCTTGCAGAGAGAAGAAGGAAGAGAGGGAGGAGGAAGGGAGAGAGAGACAGAAACACTGCTCGGCTGGCTCCCAGATACACCTGGACCAGGGCTCCAACCTGCAACCTAAATATGTGCCCTGACCAGGGACTGAGCCCTCAACCTTTAGGTTCACAAGAGGACTTGCCAACCACCTGAGCCACACCCACCAGGGCTACATAGTACTTTTACCAACCAACACTTAGCAAACTGACTTTTCCCCGATTCTGAATTCCCTTTGCATTTGAATATGTTACAGAACTGTACACATAAAAACTTATAATAATAGCCACCATCAACGGAGTACATACTATAGGAAGGTTCCCATAAAGGATTATAAAGAATGTGTGATCAAACCCAGTTTACTAAAGAGAAAACTGAGGCTCAGAGAAGCCAAGTACTTTAGCGATTTTCTCACAGTGAATAAATAACAGAGCAAGACCAGGAACTTAAATCTGTATGACTCAAAGCTCACACTATTTCTGTGTATAATTATCTGTCTTCCTGATGCATACATGCCTCCTCTATTTCTTTTATATCATCTAGAGCACTAGGTCCATTTATATTCATAAAGGAGGTATTAAACAAATGAATTCTAGAAAATCACTAGAAAGCCAGCAAAAGGTTCGAACTCTTTAATTAAATAATTCACTTACACTCAGGCTCAAATACATATAGATGGCCCTTCCCCCCAAAAAACTAAAGAAATATTTGTGGTTTAAGTCTTTTAGGTAACATTCTTAATTAATACTGGAACCCAGTGTTACTCCCTCACTCCTCGACAACACCTTCATCCCCATTAACTGCAATCCCCAAAGAAAGGGTTAGTTATAAATTGTTTGGCTTTGCCATCAGTAACTTCAAGTCTCTCTTTAGCCCTAGGGAAATAGCAACATGACAGCATCCCTGATTCTGCAGCCTGCTATACGTAAACCAACCTCACCTCTTAGTGTAATTTTTTTAACCCACTAATGGGCATACTGTAAATGACCATTACATAAACATCTGCTCTTCCTGGATATAAAGGTTTAAGCAGCAGTTTTTTTACCTTGAAATAGCATAACATCAATTACTGTTCATTTAGTCAATATGAAAGGTAACGACCACATTTACGTTTTAGTACTCTGTATTTTAATGTCACTATAAACATTAAGTAAAACGAAATAAGCTATTCCAGTATCCCAAATGACAACAAATGGGTGAACATAAACCAGAAATAAATATTTCACCAAAGTCTCTTAACAGTACTCATGATATACTGAGTATCTTTGTTACCTGTTATGAGGTACCTTCCTTCTCTCCCAGCATACACCACACCTTTTATGTTGACAAAAGCTGAGAGATAACTGGGTTTCACTTTTTAAAAATCAAAAAAATGATCACTCAAACCTCTCACCAAGAATGAATCCCAAGAATGAAGAATTCCACCTCCCTTTTTACAACCCTTGACTTTCCGCCTCCAGCTACCAGAGAGGGCTGGGGGTGGGGGAGAGGGTGGTTGGAACAGACAGAGAATGCTCGACTGGGTCAGCCACCTCCTAGTCTGGCCCATCCCAAACTTTACCTTGATACAGCTAGGAGGAGGAAGGCACCAGGAATTCCTGGGAGATGGTCTCACCCGTATCGGAGAACATTCTTGTCCTCCTAGAAGCCACCATTTCCCTGGGGCATTATCACATACTCCCACCCGGGCATATTACCTAAGAGATTACTTAAAAGAAAAGCACACACACAAAGAGAAACAACGCACTGGTTGAAACGGGCAGCTATAGCTCAGCGTGCGCAGAGAACCGGGAGACCACGCGGAGCCGAAGCCAAGTTGCCACTACGATTGTACCTACGGTCCAGGAGGTGGCCGGAACAGCTGAAAACCAAGCACTGGAGGCTCCAGCCCCACGCCCGACACCCCACGCCCGACACCCCGCGCCGGGCCCAGCCCTCCCGCCAGGAAACCCAGCGCAGTGGGGCTGCCTCTCCCGGAGGGCACACGGGCCTCTGCCGGAGCGATAAGGTGGATCGGCGCTTCCTACCCCCCCCAGCTCCGCCCTCCCGGCCACATTCCTTAGAAGCATGACTCCCTGGACGCCGAATAGGGCGCCAGGCAGACAGGAGTGCGGTGTTACGGGCATAGGGTTCGAGGAAAGAACCAGCCTCGCGACCCTAGCCCGTCGGGCCCCCAGCCCCCGCAACACCTCCGGGGCGGGGTTGCTGCAGCCCCCTCGCCACAGGTAGCGCGAGCTCCCACCCGCCACCCCCCCAACACCCACGGCAGGCCCGCTCTAGGCACCTGGATAAACTGGATGGTGAGCGCCGACTTGCCCACTCCGCCCCCGCCGACCACCACGAGCCGGTACTTCTCCTGGCCAGAGCCGTCCCGCCAGCCGGCCGCGGCCATGGGGACGCCACCGAGCCCAGCCCGGCCACGCCGAGCTGCTGCCCGCCCTAGGCCCGGCTCCGGGTTCGTGTGCGGCCGGCGGGCTGCGGGCGAGCAGCCGGGCGGGGGTCCCGGGCGTCCGGAGCTGCTGGGAACACTGGTGCGTAGGGCAGCGCAGCGCCCAGGCTGGCCAAGTCCTGCCCGAGGCACGGAAAAGCGGGGAAACCGCAAGAACCCGGAGCAGCAGCGGTCGAGGGGCGCGCTAGTCCACCGTCTCCGTAGCGCCTGGCGAACGCAGCCTCTAGCGCCGCTACAAATGGCCGTCTGGGGGCCGGGCCGCTACGCTGAGGTGCTGCATATGCATGAAGAGGCGTGGTGGGGCGGGGCCAAGTGGGCTAGGCTGAGATTCCCGTGCTGAGATTCCCGAGCTGACCCAGGGCTCAGACCTCCGGGATGTGGCCCCTAACTCCCCTTTTTGAGTGTGTGTGTGTGTGTGTGTGTGTGAGTACGTGAGAGAGAGGGTGTCGAGTGAGAGTAGAAAGAAGACAGTGTGTCTTCTGTGTATGTCAGGGATTGTCAGGGATTATGTGCATGAAAAATACAGCATGTGAAGGCAAGTGTGAAAAATAGCGCTGTTGTCATCTTAACTCCATTTGTGGGAGAATAAATATCCTGTTTTAAGAGTACAGATGGTGACTGTGATTATGTGAAAAACAGTGTGTGGCAGTGATTGAGGACTAGAACTCTATCACAGTATTGTGTGTGTAATGAACTTGTAGTGGTGACAGTGTGTGAGAAATGTGGCAAAGTCTGAGCCATGGGAGATAAATCACAGTGACTGAGCATGCCTGGGACAAGAGTGAATGTGAGATTTCGTACGTGTCAGGAGAGTGTCTTAGTTAGTGGTTGTGTTTATGTGTGAGAAATATATGGCAATTTATGAGAGGAGAGTGTGCGTGAGAGATTAGGATGTACTTATTTGCACACTACATGCCAGGCACTGTGCTGGGGATCCTATCATAAACAAAACAATATCCCTGCCCTCAGGGAACTTAGAGTTTGATGGGAGAGATGGCTGGGACAACAGGCAAAGTATGAAGCATAAGGATAAGGGCTGTAACTACTAAGCACTGGCAGCGTGTGCACTCATAGGGGAAGCACTAGAGTTGGGCAGTCAGGGAAAGCTTCCTAAAAGACCTGAATAATAAATAATATAGGCAGACAAATAATTGGAAAAAAGGAAACTACATATGCAAAAATCAGAGCTAAGAAGGTAAGCATTGTGTCATATGATTTTGAAAGTATTGAGAGTTTGCATACCACTGATTGTGAATGAAAAGTGATGATCTCTATGTGTGTGGCAGTATAAATGAATGTAGCAGGAGTCAAAGCTCTATGTAGAGGCACAGTACAAACACAGTAGTAGATAAAACCATGGGCTCTGTAGCCAGACAGTCTGGATTCAAATCCTAGCTCTTCCCATAATGGTGTAATGTTGAGAACTTACTTAACATCTGTGCCTCTCCTCTCTAAAGCAAGGATACTAAGATTACCTACCTTGAGGGGGTTCTTTTTAGGAAGAGTCTAATGAATTAAAACACACAATAACACCTGGCATGTAGTAAGTAAGCATTTATGGCAGCTTTGGAACAGGACTGCAAGCTCTTGGACACAACCTAACGACTCTCTTGGAACCAGCAGAATGCAGCAGAAGAGATGCTGTATAACTTCTAAGGCTAGATCAGAAGAGGCCACGCACCTTCCACTTGTTCTCGCTCGAGGAGAAACAAAGTAAGAAGTTTGGCTACCATGAGACTGCCATGCCAGAGAGGCCACACGTAAACATGTCAGTCAAAGGTCCAGCTGACCTGACCAGTGTGACTCAGTGGGTTGGATGTCATCCTGCAAATCAAAAGGTCACCAATTTGATTCCCAGTCAGGGCACATGCCTGGGTTGTGGATTTGGTCCCCAGTTGGGATGCAAATGAGAGGCAACTGATCAATGTTTCTTTGTCACATCAATGTTTCTCTCCCTCTCTTTCTGCCTTCTTTTCCCACTCCCTCCAAAAAATCCAGCTGAGCTCCTAGCCAATAGCCAGCATCAACTGCCAGCCATGTGAGACATGGATACCCAGTCTGCCCAACCTTCAGATGCCTGCAGCCCCTGCTGCCATTTGACTGACTGCAACTGCATGACAGATTCCAAGCAAGAGCCATCAAGGCCAGCCATTCATGACCCAGAAAATCATGAGCAAAATAAAATAGTAAACCTGGTTGTTCTACTTTTTAAAGCTTTTCATGTGGGAATAATTTCTACATAGAAACATAAAGAGCACCCACATACCTCTCTCATATCAATGTTTCTCTCCTTCTCTCTTTCTCCCCTCCACTCTCTCTAAAAAAAAATCACTGAGCATGTCTTCAGGTTGGATTTTTTAAAATAATAAATAAATAAATAGGGCTTCTAATCAAGATGGAGGCATTGGTAGACACACTTCACCTCCTCATGCAACCACAGAAAGAATTACAACTAGATAGACCTCAAGACACATAACACCCAGAACCATCAGAAAATCGAGCTATATGGAAGTCCGACAACCAAGGATTTAAAGAAGACACATTCTTCCAGACAGCTGAGAGGGGCAGAGTCTCAGAGATGGGCAGAACGGCAGTGTGGCATGAAGAGGCAGTGGCGGCACTGGAACAGACAGTCCCACATTCACATATGGTCGATGAAAATCAGGAGGGATACCTTGGGAGTGAGTGATCCAAGCCCCAGATCGGACCACAAAGTCCAGGGTTCCAGCGCCGGGAACATAAATCCCCATAACTTCAGGCTATGAAACCAGTGGGGTTTGGGACGGCAGGAAAAAATGCTGGATTTTCAGAAGGGTGCATTTAAAGGGACTGCATGGATTTTGAACATATGCAAATCCACCCACTCTAGGATTCAGCACCAGGGCAACAGCTAGAAGGATGCAAATCACATATGGGAAGTGACTGAAGTGACTGGAAATGGGACGAGTGCCAGGAAAACTTCCAGAAGCCAGGCAGCGGTATTTGCCCCTCTCTGAGCCCTGCCCCACCTCCACAGAGCCACAAAGCAGTGAAGTGGGGTGTCCCAACCTGGCGATTACCTAAGACTCTATCCCACATAATTGACAGGTGCCTTTTCTACAATAGGCCATGCTACTAAGAAAGGGAGTCAAAGCAGCTCTACATAATACACAGAAACAAACACACGGAGGCTGCCAAACTGAGGAGACAAAGAAATATGGCCCAAATGAAAGAACAGAACAAAACCCCAGAAAAAGAATTAAAACAAATGGAGATAACCAATGTACCAGATGCAGAGTTCAAAACACTGGTGATCAGGATGCTCAAAGAATTAACTGAGTATGGCAACAAAACAAAAAAGACCCAAGAAAAAATGAAGAAATATCTACAAAGAACCTACAGTGGAGGGGATGAAGCCAGGATATATCTACAAAGAACCTACAGTGGAGGGGATAAAGCCAGGATTCAAGTCAATGATTTGGAACATAAAGAAGAAATAAGCATTCAACCAGAACAGCAAGAGGAAAAAAACAATTCAAAAAACAAGAATAGTCTAAGGTGCCTCTGGGTTTCCACACATGCTGACATCCAAATCATAAGGATGCCAGAAGGAGAAGAGGAAGAGCAAGAAATTGAAACTTTATTTGAAAAAATAATGAAAGAAAACTTCCCTAATTGGATGAAGGAAATAGACATACAAGTCCAGGAAGCACATAGAGTCCCAAACAAGTTGGACCCAAAGAGGACCACACCAAGACATCATCATAATAAAAATGCTAAAGGTTAAAAATAAATAGCGAACCTTAAAAGTAGCAAGAAAAAAGAAGAAAATTACCTACAAGGAAGTATCCATAAGACTTTCAGCAGGTTTTTCAAAAGAAACTTTTCAGGCAAGAAATATTCAAAGTGATGAAAAACAAGGACTTATGACCTAGATGCCTCTATCCAGAAAAGCTATCATTTAGAATGGAAGGGTAGAAAAAGTGCTTCCTAGACAAGGTAAAGCTAAAAGAGTTCATCATCACCAAACCATTATGTGAAATGTTAAAAGGACTTATTTAGGAAAAAGAAGATAAAACTATGAACATTAAAATGGCAACAAATTCACAATTATCAACAACTGAATCTAAAAAAGGAAACTAAGCAAACAACTAGAACAGGAACAGAATCATTGATATGGAGATCATCTGGAGGATTATCAGCTGGGAAGGGGAAGGAGGAGAATGGGGGAAAATGTGCAGGGATCAAGAAGCATAATTGGTAGGTTCAAAAGAGATGGGGGATGTTAAGAACAGCATAGGAAGTGGAGAAGCCAAAGAACTTATATGCACCACCCATGGACACAAACTAAGCAGGGATTGATGGAGGGAATGGGGGTACCAGATGGAGTGGGGGAAAGGGAAAAATTGGGGCAACTGTAATAGCATAATCAATAAAATATATTTCAAAGTCAAGGGAAAGTAATTATTATAATAAATAAATAAAGTGCAACCTAAAATCTTTGTCTCTTGTCAAAAACTTCTGGTAATCAGAAAAGTTTATCAAATCTCCAACACATTCAAAAGAAAGTTATTCCCTGAATGAAAAACAAAACTATACTAGCCACAGCTATTTAAACATAGGTCCCAAAACAATTATAATGCATTCCTTAGTATTCTGTGGCTTGGCATCTGGTAGAGGAGCACTCAGGGGTCTGAGCCTACTGACAGTTTGACCAGAAAAAGAAAGTGAGGAGGATACAGTAATAAATACAAGCTGGTAAGCACCTATGTGTTGGTGACTAAAGTTTTCAGGGGAAAATCTATTTTCAGTAGAACCTATTTCAATAACCTATTTGCTGAGCTGCTTCTCTGCTGAATCCTGACCAAAATTTTCTTTCCTTTCTGCTCTGCACCACTATGATCCTTGTATACAGGACAATTCCAATGCTGAAACCAAGCAAGCAAACCCAACCTGTAGAAAACATGCTTTAGGTGACCCCCAGGGGTCCATTTTTCCTTACTTTCAAATAGTATCTCCAAATTTCCCCTCTGTAAGTTTGGGAGTAACTGACACCCATCCCCATTTCCAGAGTTCACTCAGATTCACTTAAGATTATCAATCTCCACTAGCCACAGTAATTAGCTAAAGGATGGGCACATGATCTACGTCAGGCCAATAAGGAACAGTTTCAACTGCAGAATCAAAACTACGACGAGACACCAGTTTACACCCATTAGGATGACTGTAATAAAAAAGACAAGGAATTTTGACAAGAATATGG